GGGGTACATAGTAGGCAAACATTGATGGATTTGTGTAGCATAGAGAATTATGAGCTCTTTTTTTGAGTAAGGAATTTGGTGGGAAATGTTGTACAAAAATAATTTCATACCCTTTATAACAGTGACAGAATTGTGCAAAAAATTCTTACATAAATATGGTTGTAATAAAATTAAATGTTTCATTGACATCTCACCAGAAATTAAGAATTAGGTGTGCACATTACTTCTTCTATGGTACATTTCTGAACGCACCACATCACTATTTCTATCTCTGTAAATTTCAGCTAATTTTGTAAGTAGTCTTGCTAATAAATGTATTGTGACTGAGCATTAAAATGAAATTCGTTGTCGACAAATTGGATTATACACAATTACACACTCGTATAAATGTGTGTTAATCCAATGGTATTTTGTGCTTGTGTTAATCAGAAAAATGGAACCTTTGTATTCCTCTTAGAAAACAAACACATTATATTTTGGGCTTGTGTTAATTAGGTCGGCCTAATAAATGTGACGACATACACTTTTTTCACAAATACGGGTTTTCTTAATAAAAAAAATGTCATACTTTGAAAAAGTAAATAAAAATGCGACACTTTATAGTTTGTAGTATACAAGTACATTTTTATTTAAATAATATCACAGGTATATGCTTTACGATTAATCACACAATAATTTAGGGTTGGGTAGAAGTACAGTTGACCTCGTGAAAGTTAACATAATAGATAGACTATGAGTTGCCTAATACAGAGGTCATAATATTACACTTTTCAACCATTTTAATTAATTAACTTCGTATCGTACCGTCATTGTCAGTAGAGTTTTAAAAGCTCAATTTAGGGTTTTTATGGATTGCCTAATAAAGACGTTATTACTCTATTTTCAGGTTGAATTTGAAAGCTCAATTAAATGAAAATATTGATTATTAGGTCTTAGTCGGCTCCAACTCCAACTCAATGAAATGGTCCCACAATTAAATTGTTTATTACCATTGAAAAATTAATCAGAAAAAAAAAATCTTGTGAATATTGAGATGAAATTATATAGGGTTCTTAACAGGTTTATCGTTTATGCATGAATCACCTAGACTAAATTCATCTAGACTCAGTGACATCTTCGGCTTTTAGTTTAGCAACCCATATCAACTGCAAATATTTGTTGCTGCACATTTATTATGGCCTTAATTTGCCATTAATTCTTTGAACAAAAGTCAAGACCATTTTCTCGTGCTATAATTCGATGTAATTAGTCAAAAACATTGATTTTGTACTATAATTCATTCTTTTTTGGGTGAATCATATGTAAATTCAAATGGTAATTTTATATTAAGTTTGAATAATAAGGTCAACAAAATTATATCCCTTATTTTGTTGGTTATTGAATGTTTGGGCCAGTTGGAATGAAATAATGTGGCTAAAATTCAGACTCTTAGCCTAACTGGCCCCAGAATCACCTTGAGTGTCCAGATATGTAAACCACAATTTCAAATTTTTGTGGACCCTTTTTGTCCCCAGGCCCAATAGAAAATTATGAGTCCACCTATAAATCCTTCTTATTTGTACATTTATAATTTTTTTTCAAAATTTTCAACATGCAAATTTTTGTTGTTTATCAATGTTGATATAGGCTTATTTTGTCACTAGTTTTTAAATTGCAGTATTTTTTAATTCATGACTGATTTATAACTCGTTTAAGTTTGATTTTATTTTGAATGGTGAAATATTACAAAAGAATTTGAAAACGAGTAGTGAACACATACAATCCCCATTTAGTTTGACTACAAGCCATTGAGAAATTTTCAGTGGCCATCGCAATCACTTAACCCTGTGCATTTTAGATTTATTTATTATAATTTTATTCCTCCCAGTAGCATATTTTTGACTTGGTAGCATATAAGTTAAAACAATATCAATCAGTAAACAAGACTTTAAGCCCAAGTGACAAATAACTTCTTTCAAACTATGGTAAGAGTTGACTTGTTTTGACAAATGACAATAAAATTTCAATCTAGCCATAAATGTAAGTAACAGAAGCTCATTTACACATCAGCTGTACATATTCAACTGAAATCTGATGGTTAATTATCAGACTTTGGATTTTGTGTGATTTTCATTTGATATATAGCTGAGATTAATTTATAATAACTGAGAATAAGCAAAATACACTCCCTTAGTGCAATATAACATGGCATTCATATAAATACACATTTTCTTCTCTTTTTGGATGAAATCAGGATTTTAATTGTGAAAAATAAAAAGATAAATAAATAAAATAGCAAAAACTTAGCAGTGTTCGAGCGAATTTACCAGCTAGTTAAATTAAATATCAGGAGGATTAGCTGTTCAAATCGAAGCTTGTTACCTCTTTGAACATGTCTAACCATTAAACAACATAATATATACATAGCTATTATGTTTTTTCTTAGGCAAAATTATACTTTGCCTACCGAACAATCCGCGTTTTTACACTTTGTCCATTCAACTTTTTCCGGTGACATTTTACCCCTTGAACTTCACATATTCTTGCACTTAACGACTTCCGGCACCGGAGATGCAAAATCAAGGGCAAAATCGTCATTTACACCTTAGAAGACACCTCAAAGTAGTCTTCACGAGTACACTTTGCCTACCGAACTATTTGCGTTTTTACACTTTGTCCTTGATTTTGCATCTCCGGTGGCCGGAAGTCGTTAAGTGCAAGAATATGCGAAGTAAAAGGGGTAAAGTGTCACCGGAAAAAGTTGAGTGGGCAAAGTGCAAAAACGCAAATAGTTCGGTAGGCAAAGTGTAAATTTCCCTTTTTCTTAATATTGCTTTTAAAAACACTATATTTTCTAATGGATCTTTATGTTGTTTTTTAAAGTAATGCATTTTTTTAAATAAAACTATACATATTCGATAAAAACGTATGTCACGTAGTTGGACCGTCTAACACCAAAATATGTCAGTCCAATGATTAGGCCGTCACATAAGACCTAAAACTTATTGGTCGCTAAGATTGTGTTTGGTAAATATATAAGTTAACTTATAACTTATTTGATTAGCTTATAAATTTTTTGTATTCATATAAGCTCGGCTCAGTAGGACGAATTTTTATAAAAAAATCGAACTTATACCATAAGATTACTTGAGTAGCTTTTCATAACACTTTACCATACAATCTAACTTTTCAGTCATAAATCATAAGCTATCAGCTATAAACTCGAATTTCACTTAAAAGCTATAAATTAATTTATCAACTAAGTCTCCCAAAAATAATTTAATTCATTTCTTGATGCTTTCAAGAAAGGACCACTTAACCGTACAAATCTGCAGACCAACAAAAAATTTGACAAATTTGCAGCCACAAGAGAATCAAGGAAAGCATAAGAACAGCTCAAATCACAAATCTACACTCACAATGATGAAAACCCATTTTTCCATTGCAGACTTGAGCAAACACATATTCAACATCACACACAATTTAATCATCCATTTGCCCACACAAATTTCCAAATCAATCTACACAAACCCTTGAGCTTCCAAATCAAACATCTTTCATTAAACAAAAACCCAAATCCAAACCTATTCCTTGTCCGATTCACTCTTGCCCTCAGCTGCCTCCACCTGTTTATACGCCATTGATATTTCCTCGACAGGGACCAAAGGAACAAAGCCCATAAAAGTAAACCCTTTTGTGCTCAGGTTCTTGACCAGATTGTTGTACTTTTCCGACCAGTGAGCGGCCGTTGGAATAGCCATTTCAAACAAGCCGTGCAAGATCGGGTGCTTGTTGGCCTTGTACCAAACCACCACAAGCAGGTTAACTGCCACCTGTTTTGAGATTGTGCCGGCATGGGAAATGGCTGCAAGTGGGCCCTTCACTTGGGCTTCCGCCGTTAGCTCACTGGCTAGTTCGGAAGCTTTCCTGAATATGGATTGGGCTTTTGAAACGAGATTCTTGGCGAATGTTGGGGCGCACTCGTTGAATTTGTTTGTTGCCTCGTCTACCTAGAAAACATATTGAACCGTAGAATGTCTTCAAAGTAGCACTAGCTAGAATGCTTCCACAATTCAAAATATTTCGAGATAACAAACAAGTGTTTCAACTTTCAAAAGGAATGCTTTCCCTTAAGGTTCTTTCTTTAAGGAATGAATATATTCTTGAGATTTTGAGACAAAAGAACCAACTCCCTTTCTATCAAAATATCCAATAGTTCGAAAAAATGCCAATGATTCATCAGAGCCAAGAATATAATAATTGATAGAAAGATATTTTGATGGTAAAAAAAAAGAGCCCCAAAAAAAATGAACAGATCAAGACTAGAAATTTCCATGTGAAACTAGTATCAACAAAACCACAAGAAAGCATGCAACTAGTATATATAGAAGAGCAAATACAAACAAGGATCTCCACAGTTGCATATAAGAATATCAGAGTGTTGACAAAGAACAGCGAGAATCTTTTTTATCAAAACATGCAAAAATATACCAGATTTGCAGCAGCCATATGAAAACAAGTAAAGAAATCAACATATTTGTCATTCTCTGTTCACTTCCAAAGATGACCCATCATTCACTTCTTCATAAGATTGAATCTTTCATTTGACAGATCCATAATTATTCCAAATAAACAATTACAACATTTTACCACAAAACCTGTAGATCTATTATCAACCAAGAGACTCAAACAAACAAACAAAAAGGGAGATCCACGAGAGCTTCAAAAGGGCATCGATTAAAAAACGAAAAAATGAAATTGGAGGCCAAAAGTTACCTTCTTGTCGATGAAAGCAAGAATACCACCGGGAACCCCTTTCACTCTGCTGTAGACAGGGCTCACGACGGCCGTGACGGCGCCCTCAGCCCTCTCGAAGGCGGATTTGTACGAACCGGAATTCTGCTTGGCGGAGTCGTAGAGATTCGACACGAATACGACGGCGTTGATCGCCAGGACCTTAACGAAGCCCAGATACTTCAATTCGCAACAACTGTCGTCCACCTCAACCTAATCCACAAACAGACGGCAAATTCAAGACCAAATTTTTTCCGATAAAATCAAGACGAATCAAAAGAAAAAATTACCTGAGACGACGCCATAGCTCGTTTTCGAGAAAATCGTCGAAAAATGAGAAAATTCTGGTTTTAAGTCTTCAATCTTGATTGCTTCAAGTATGCACACAGTAAGTATAGTGTGAGCTTAAATCTTTATTTTAACGTCAGGGCAATGGTTTCGACTTTCGAGATTCGATGTAAACTTCGAGGAGTGATGTAAATTGACGATGGATATGAAGCCACGTGGCGAAGGTATAGGGACACTTCCTTTTTCGCGACTAATCAAGAAGAAAGATACCTTAGGTGAAAGTTGCTTGGAACTTTCTGGACCTACTTTGTTTATATACTAGTACAGATCCCGTGCGATGCACGTGGTGCACAAAATTAAGGCTATTTATCAAGTTTTATAATTATATAAATGAATAAAGAAAAATGTACAGGATATATATATAGTACGTATAGGCCAAAATGTGAACACGGGTGATGCACGGGGTGCACAATTTTAAGGTCATTTATTAGTACAGAGTCCGTGCGATGCACGGGGTGCACAATTTTCTAGTATGTGTAATACAAATACATACCGTATGCACGGGACAAAAGCACTAAATGAGTTATTTCCACAGAGCTTGCCGGTTAAGTAGCTCCTGAACACGGGTGCACAATTTGTAGTACGTAATATAAAATCAGAACAGATTTCCATACAATTAGATAATAAATAAAGCATTTTTTTAATAAAGATTTTACGTACTTTTTTTTACTTATCGGATGTTATGGGATTTTTATTGTTAAACTGATTTTATCGGATATGATACAAATACAATTAGAGGATTACACAAAATCAGAACTGATTTCTATACAATTAGATAATAAGAATGAATTAGATAAGGAAAAAAAGAAATTATATAAAGAATTTTGAATCTACCTTTTTTTAGTATAGATAGACTTTACGTACAAATTTTGACTTCACCGATTTTATAACATTTGTTTTGACAAAATCAAAGATGAATATTGAAGATTGTTTCTATTAACATTTACAATGTGTATTTAATGTTTTTTTTTGGCAATATATTCTTTTTAAGTGTGATATATAAATATTAAAAATACTTAAAATATTTTATAACATCTATAAAAGCATCTAAAATATTCTATATTATTCACAAATAATGTTTGAAGCTACCTAAATTTTTCTAAACTACCCGTAAGGAAAATATGTCTAAAAATTCTTCATTTAAACTTCATATATGTATATATAGAGAGAGAGCAAATGAAAATCATAAATCATTTGATTTGGTATTTTCGGAGAACTTCATTAATTTAAAAGTGTAAAATAAATAAATAAAAAATGTACAACTGAAAAAGTTACAACCAATTGTATGGAGAATTAAACTAAATCCAATTTTGTAGGATGCATTAAATATTGATTAAATTTTATATGTAAAATAAAATAAAAAAATAACTGGAATAGTTGTAAGTGTTGTAATATTTTATATTTAAAAAAAATAAAAAAATCTTCATTTACGTATTGCATACCTACATTTTAGGAACTACATAGATATTCCTAAATTAATATTGCATACCCAATATTTTAGGAACTAATTAAATGCTAATTTGATTTGCATACCAAAAATATTAGATGCATTAATTAAATGATTAATAAAAATAGCAAATCATTAATTAGGGTTGACTATTCTACATACTACATTTAGTAAATAGTACCCCCTTTAATATAAGTATAGATTACTAGAATGATAAACGAGCCTCGAACTTAGAACTAAGTGAAAAATTGAGTTCGAACTCGACTTGTTTATCACTATTAATGAACCGAGATTGAGACTTAATGAAATTGATTTCAAGCTTTAACAAGTCCAACTATAAAAAATTATACATATATTTTTTTCAAGCCTTATCGAGTCGAGTTTCCAAACGAGCTTTACACGAGCTCGAACTTGGATAGTTAAGGGCTCGAGCTCGAGCCGAACTCAAGTCGAGTCGAGTTGAGTCAAGTTCATTTAATTTAACAGCACTATTTATTACTTATGTTAATTGAAATTTGTCCCAAAGAAAATGCAAATAGACAAAATTTAAACTAAAAAGAGAATATAAATTTGTCAACTTGCATAGCAACAAAGAAATACAAATACAACAAGAACAACAACAATTTTAATCTTACATGCAATCATATATAATATAGTACACGAAATGATGAAACCAAATTAATGAAATGGCTATTTGAGACGCTTGCAAAGAGTAACTCCATCCCCAATAGAAAGTTGAGCCAATTCAATCCGAGCATCTTTAGCCAAGAAAGTGTTCAACTCCATAATGTGTCCTCTACACCCCCTCAAGAAATCTTCCATCTCGGCATCCTCGGGCGCCACCACAGTCCCGGACCATAAGGTGTTGTCGTAGGCAATAATTCCCCCAACTCTAACCAGCTTCATAAGCTTCTCGTGGTAGTTTATGTAGTTTTCCTTGTCAGCATCCACAAATGCAAAATCGAACGTTCCTTCTTCTCCCTGTATGTATACAATGATCAAAGGGTTTGATTTGTGATATATAACATAACAAATTGTCGTTGTAAATAGGAATATTATGTGACGATCAGCTTATAATATCATTATTTCGGTTTTTATATTCTATGGTTTTGAAAATATAGAATAGAAACCAAATATGTCCGTGCCTTGATAAGGAGTTGCTCCATAACTCTCATGGCGTTGGATTGAATGTACTGGATTTTGTGCGCGACGTTTGCTTCCTTGATAAATGGCAGCCCTGTCTCGAATGCTTCTCTATCCGGATCAATAGCTATTATCTAAAATTCAAAAAACAAAAAACAAAAAAAAATCTTGACTTTGAATTTTTATTTTCTTGACATAAATACATAAGAATATGTATATTGTGTTTAAATTACTTTGCCATCATCGGGTAGAGCAAGAGCAGTTGATAGAAGGGAGTAGCCCGTGAAAACCCCAACCTCAATTGTTTTCTTGGCATTCATAATTTTTAGCAACATAGAAAGAAATTGGCCTTCATCAGCCGTCACGTTCATCAAGCTCCTGTTTAAGTAAAATACCATACATATCGAATTAAATTTAACAAAATAATATGATGAGTGTAGTATTTGGCAATCTCAAATTATGTAGTCGATTTTTTCACAAATGAATTAACACACACTCGCACAAGTATATATATTAATAGTTTAAATTCGTTTATATCCTCTCTTTAATTAATTTCATACGTACCAATATTGATACTTGTCCACGGTGGCCTTTCTTATTTTCTTGAGTTGCTCATGCTCTCTTGGATAGGCGCTTGTTTCCAATATGTACTGCCATAATAATATCACAGGCCATCAATTATTATAAATCACTTGATTTTTGCAATGTTCAAATTATATACATAGAAAATGAGTTCTGACCTTAGCGAGTGCCTCGCTTTGCAAGATCGTGCCTGTAAACTGATCTTTCATGGTTGAGTAATAATGATTAAGGCAGATTTTTGTTTTAAAAAAATAAAAAAATGAGATGGATAAATAATAATCTGGTGATTATAGGTTTTCTTTTATTTCAGCTTGAGTGGTGTCAAACTTGAGGAATTTAAACCGCAATTTATAGGCGTGGAGTGGTGGTCTGTTTTGTGGGTGCATGCAAACGCGTTAGCGCCTAACTTAATTGGAAAATGTCAAAAGTCAACTAATTAACTTTTTTTTAGAATAATAATATAATAATAATAATAAAAGACTTACCAACTATTTTCATGTAATTATATATGTATTATGTATACCTCCAACTTGGAACTATGATTTCGTTCATCATTACCAGTATAAGGTATATCACTAACTTGAAAGATACGATCGAGTTGGATCAATTTGTCTCACGTTTTTTTAAATAGATATATACGTGTATGAAATGTTATATTTTTATTTACATTAATTGTTTTTCTAATATTTAATTTCATTCTGAAATTATATATATATATATGTGTGTTTATTAAAAAAATATGATTGTGTAATTGTTGGTTAGTTTTAATGTTTTTCAAATATCATTGTGTTGGTTTGGCGGTGTTTGGTTGTCCAACATATGATATTGCCTCACCAAAATTGCACCATTTGGAACAGAACTCAACTTGCATTTAATAATGGTATACAAAACTTGATGACTCGCATGCATGCATTACTTAATTCGACCAACCTATTGTTTCTAATTTCTGCATATTTTGTAAAATGGTTGCACTTTCTTTAACAACAAAGTTAAATTAAATAGCATTGGTAAGAGATGGTTGCTCGTGGGTAGGATGAAATTTTTCGGGTAAGATATATATATGGATAAAAGGATTAATGACATCCAAATTATTTGCTTTGATAGAGTCTTGATTATATCACAATCACTAATACTATAAAATTAAATTTCCAACTACTCTATAGTTTAAAAATTAAAAAATTATGTTTGGTGAATGTTTTTCAAGCATTCACAACAGATGACACGACAATTATTTGGATAAATGAGAAGTAGGCATCATCCAATATGTGCGTACCTATATAAGTTGGTGAGAATTCATAGACAAACAACAAACTGAATGATACAACAAATAAAATAAAAACTGTGTATTTGGAAATACTGAAGGAAAATAAGATTTTATTAAATAAACAAGTATTTTAAAATATATATATATATATATATATATATATATATATATAAGTTTGATTATTTTTTAAATAGTAACTATTTCTCTACGAAAAATCTATTTACTATTTCGAGAAATTAAATTAATTTATGGTATATATCAAATAATCACTTACAGAAATTGCGGCTCATTATCTAAGCAAATGATTAAGTCATACAAAAAAATATTTTTAAGATACTTTAATTACTCAAATCATGTACATTTGGCTGATTTACTCAAATATGAGAATTTCGGTTACAATATCAACTATTTGATTTGGTAAAAAAATTTCAACTAAATTGTGTAATTTATTATTTAATAAGTGTTTTATATTTTAGTGTAATTCTTTTGTGATATGCATTTTTAATATACCTTAATTACGCAAATTGTTTAAATTCGAATGTTTATTCAATATGCAAATAATTACTACAATTATGGATATATCGACAACAATAATCGATTATGTCATTTGCAAAAGCAAAAAAAATATTTTCAAAAGCAATTGTGTTAATGACAGCTTTTATTAAAATATTATTTAATAAATAATATTCATTTGTTGTGTATTTAATTACTCAAACAGTGGATAATTAAGGAAATAACTAGACCATAAAAATATATATTTTTAAGATACTCTAATTAAGCAGATCTTGAAAATTCGATTGATTTATTAAATTATAATTTTTTTTATAATATTATTCCAAAATAATTGTGTTAATGAAAATTTTTATTTAATTACTTTTTAATAATTGCTTTTTGGGTCTTTTTTATTTTTATCTATAAAAGACGTGGGTCTCGATTTTGTTTTGTACGCTGGGCAATTAATTTCGTGACGTTTTGTATTTTGGCGATAAAGTATGAAATTGAATTATTTGGTATACTATATATTGATACAATATACCCTCTTATGGTAAAAAAATAGTATCTCAATATTTTATTTTTTTTTCATATTGCTAAGCATTTTACTCGATATTAATGATAGAAAAATCTAGAAAATGCTATGGTCGATAATTCTTTGTAAATGTGCGTGAAGCATAATAAATTATTTAGTGTATATCATTATATATATAAAGCTTTGTATTTACTTGAATCACATTGTAGTCAAATCAAATTTCTGAATAAAAATTTTACAATGACACCTATTTTCAAATGAATATAATGTAATTTATTATCAGTTACTTGTACCGTACGAGTTGTGTACTAATTTTAAATAGACATGTTTTATGTAATTTTGCACAATATAAATTTCATATAACATTTTCAACAAATTAATATAGGTAAATTGTATTACTTATTGATTTCATATTTTTAATTTATAAATATTATTTAATGAGTGCTTTTAATTTATAATATTAATAAATATTTCTTACCCGTGCCTCGCACGGGATTTGTACTAGTTGACCTAGATAAGGAGAAAGGTGAACTTTATTTTTGTTTTGTTTTGTTTTTTTTTTCCTATTATTATTATTGCAATGCAATTTTGTTGGTAATGCATGTAAAATAATAGCATAAAATATGCAGTTGGTTCTACCACCACTTTGAATCTGAAAATAAAAATATGGAGATCTTTATTTAAAATGAGGGGATAGTATTTCGAACCCTTAATTAATTAGATCTGTATTTATAAATAACACGCAATCTACATCAATTATTTAACATATATATTCCATCTACTCACCAACTGTAAGATGGGAATGGAATCTGCTACGGCGGATTTGACTTTTATGTTTCTTGTTTTCTATTGGACATACCATACCATGCACGAATATTGTATAAGTAAATTATTTAATACAATTTTTATTTGTTTAGATATGTTTAATTTTGTGGTATATGATATTTTTAATATTTATTACTATATAATAGAGAGAAGAAAAAATGTTTAAAAATATTTTCAGTTTGTCGCTCAAATCCTTTTTTTCCCCCTAAAATTTTATTTGAAATTTTTTCATACACGTTTTCCTTATTTTTGATAAGATTCCTTCCATATCGGATAAATTTCAATTCTTTTTGATTTGGGAGAACCGAAAAAAGAGGAATGCTTAAGTATTTTCACAATTGAATCTTTAAGAATCCGATTATATATACCATCAATTAAAATAACGATATAAAAAATAGCAAATACAAGTGGTTTTAAGAATCTCCGCTATCGGTATTTTAATCATATTATTTGTAATTCAAACAATTTTATAAGGGATATACAATGTCTTATTTCCTCTAATTTAATTGAGGTCTTATTTTCAAAAAAAATTTGAGCATTCCTCAAATTTAATATCGTTAGTATTTATGAGCATTCAATTAAGATAACGACAAATTATCTAAACACTGAATCTTATATCCTAATTTAATTGAGGTCCCCGACCATGAAGACCATGTTTGTATACAAATATTTTCACTCAAAATGAGTTATTTTTGGTAATTATAGTTAATTTTACTAAAAAATTAGTATGGTTAGTTTTTAGTGGGATTTTGATTTTATATTAAAATAATATTTAACATAAAATAATTAAAATTGATTTGATGAAAATAAGCGAGAGAATATATTTGAAGTGAGAGTTAGTTAAAATTATGCGAGTGTATGAATAATAAATTAAAATTAATGGGATGTTTAAGAATGATTTGTTGATATTATTTAATTATATCGATAATATTTATTATAGTGGAGTTGTGTTAAAGTTTAGTTAAATTTTGAGTATGGAGTGAGTTTTTTTGTATACAAACACACTCGAAGAATATCCACTTATATTTATCCAAGTTATCTAATAGGGTATTTTATGATAAAATTAATATAATAATATATTTAATTTATTGTACGATTATTCTTATGGATATAATTACTAAAATATTAATTATTCTAGAAAATATTTAAAAATAAACTTGAATTATCATACCTTTTACTTTCTATATTACATATTAATTCAAAATTACATATTTTAATATATTAATAATTGTTTATTGTTTTTTTCTTCCTTACTTGATATACTCTAAATTTGGTTATTAGATTTTTAAATTCAAACATTTAAAGGAAAATATCACAAGCAGAATTTTTGGATAAATTTTATTTTATCTAATTAATATTATATTTTTTATCACATTCCTAACAAACTAATTAATATTATATTTTTTATCTACATTATATAATTAATTTTTTTATGATATAATTAATATAATATCTTAACTAACTAATCATTTATCTAACCGGAATTATCTCCCTACAAACTTGTCAATTTTATTGAAATTAAAATGGTATGATTATTCTTACGGAGATACTTACGAATATATTAAACATTTAGAAACTTTTTTTTAAGAAAATGAGTTATCCCTCCTTTTACTTTATTTGAAATTCTAAGTTATATTTTTAAATATATTATTATTTATTTTTTCTTACGTGTAAATGTTTATTATTTCTTATCTAAGTGATAAATATTATTGATTTATCTCTTTAATGAATGTTTATTATTTATTTTTTCCCTTACGTGATATATCTAAATTTGGTTATTAGATTTTTAAATTCAAACATTTAAAGGAAAAGATCACAAGCAGATTTTTTGGGTACATTTCATTTTATGTTAACTTCCATATAATCACATTCCTATCAAAGTAATTAATATAATTACATTTATCTAACCAGAATTTTCAAAATATAATTAATATAATATTTTAACTAATTAATCTTTTGTCTAACCGAATTTATCTCATTAACAAATTTGTCAAAAAATTTTGAAAATAAAATAGTAAGATTATTCTTACGGGTATACTTACCAGAATATAAAAATTTTTTGAAAACAAATTTGAATTATTCCGTTTTTTACTCTATTTGAATTTCAAAATTAAATTTTTAAATATATTCATACACATTATTATTTATTTTTTCCTACGTGATATAATCTAAATTTGGTTATTAGATTTTTAAATTCAAACATTTAAAGAAAAAGACCACGAAAAGATTTTTTGGTTACTTTTCATTATATCTTAACTTCCATATAATCACATTCCTAACAAAACTAATTAGCATAATAGTTTTTTATCCACATTTATATAATCGGAGTTCTTAAAATATAATTAATATAATATTTTAACTAATTAAATATTTGTATAACTTGATTTATCTCATTAACAAACTTGCCAATTTTTTTTGAAATTAAAAAAATTTGGATGATTTTGATTTGTAAAAAAACAAAAAATAACTTTATTTTAAAGCCTGAATTCTTTCCATTATTTTTTTTACATAACAATCATATATTGGATAAAGGTTTAATAATATTCTTTATATAAAAAATATTGTAGAAAGAGAAATGTTTGATAAATCATATTTTTCATTGTTTGTATTTATTTTATTTTCATAATAGATGAGATAAAATATAAAGAATTATATTTAAAATAAAGTCTAGAAAAATTTTAAAATATGAGTTACTCCGTGCATCGCACGGGATATGCACTAGTTTCAGTTTATATTTGATAAGTGTATACATAATTTTAAAGTTGACAAAGTTTAAATATTTTTAATTATAGTATTTAATAAAGTAAGGATCGATCTTTTCTTATATTTAAAAATATATTATAAACATAATTGTTTATATTATCTAGCAATTAAAATAATGGTTTAGTGGGTGTTACTTTATTAAGTCATTCACATCATATAATTACTGTTTTAATAGTTGGTTCTATTTTTTATTGACTGTTGTAACATGAATTTTTATACCAATGTTAGACAAACGTATACAAAAGTTATTATCTTATGTTATTTTATGATAAATGAGTGTTATTAATNTTTTATCTGTTTTTTTTAACGTAATTTCATTATGGCGATGAATGATTTAGCTGGGGTTTATTTGCTCTAGCGTCCTGCTTGAGGGCGAGGTGGACGACGGCGTGCTACAGATTTCAACTTACCAAGTGATCGGATAGTTGTTATTTTTCAACGTAAAAAAAAATACATCATTTTTAAGTAAGTGTTTCATTATCTGGTATTTACCTAATAAAATTGTTTTAATGTCGTGTATGTGCAAATAAATTTTCAAATATGTGTATTTGCAATTAATTAGTGTGTGATAAATGGTTATAAACTAAAAAAAATATAAAATCAATCAAAACTAAAATTTAACTCAACTTTAACTCAACCTCACTATTCTCAATATTTTCAATATAATTAAATAATATTAATCAATCATTCATACACATCACATCAACTTTAATTTATTATCATATACTCACATAATCTTAACTAATCATCACTCCCAATAATTTTTCTTCTACTTTTACATCTAATAAATTTTAATTATTTTATTTTAAACAATACCTAAATTTAAATTTAAACTCTCACTAGCAACTAACTATACTAACTTTTTAAAAATTAATTTTGCTTAAAAAAATCAATCAAATCCATATCAATCACATTATTAGTAACAACTAAGGTAGATATGTAAATGAACCAAATGATAAAAGTTACAAAAAGGCTTTATGGTAAAAGCATTATACTGGGCTTGACCGGTTGATCATAAACTAATACGTAAAAACACATTGGACAAAAATGAACAGCCCAAGCCCATTAAAAACATCGCAGACCTAGGGCTTCATGCGCTTCAAAATTATATAAAATCCCTAAACAATTTCTCACTCAGCCCCCTGTGAAGAAGAACCTCAACACTAACATCTTCGCGCCGCCGCCGCCGAGAAAATCAGCTACGATGGTGAAGTACTCGAGGGAGCCCGACAATCCCACCAAATGTAGGTTACATTTCAGGCCTTCTTCACGCTCTTTTACTATGTGTTCGAGTTATATTTGATAATTTCCTCGTGTTTTGTTAATTGCAGCCTGCAAGGCTCGGGGATCCGATCTCAGGGTTCATTTCAAGGTGTTGTTTCGTTTTTCATTTCCTTTTTGTTCGTGCTGATCTGCTGGTTCTCATGAAAATGCTTCATTTAATTTGGGATTTCAATATTAAATTTAGTTGTTTATTCCTGCCTTTTCTTTGTCTCAAGATTGTTTGTGCATTGATTGTTAATGTGGGGAGATTTTATAGAAGCTAACCTGGTGAAAAAGCAGGGATCTATTTGCCTTTAGTGAATTGATCTCTCGTAAACATCAGGGACATCAAATGGGCAATGTTATTGGGTGAACCTCTTGAGTTGTTTCAGTGATTGAAGGTTCAGTAAACAATGCTATATTACTGCAGCCTTCAGCTGCTTTTACTGTATATATCTACCTTTGGGGTACTTAGATGCGTTAAATCATGGAACAGATGCAACTCTTTTTTTGCTACCATTCTGCTAGATTAGAATTAGCGATTGAATTTTATTGATTCATTGTATTTAAAATCATGAGCTGGTATAGGACCAGGAATTGCTTCCTAAATTGTTTTGTGGAGCATGTTTGCTGCCTGGCTTTCTTCCACCGTGTGTAGCTGCACAAACAAAGTTAACTGTTACACTTCTAAATTGTGTCGACAATAGTAACCTGCACTAAATTTCTTATGTTGTAACTACTCTTACCATGTTCTCTGCTCTCTATAAAATATTGGCATGTTCTTGTGAACAATAATAGAAATTTGTACTTGTGTTTCTGTATAGAATTTCCTTGGGTTTTGAATTGTGTCCTTGTGTATGAGTTAGGAAATTGATGTTTATATAAGAATAGATATGGTGACTTTTGATTGTCATTTAGTTGTGCCTTTTCCTTTTAAGACTAGAATTCCTGAAGGCCCATCTGCCTGTTCTGAAAATATTTGCAGAACACTAGAGAAACTGCGCATGCAATTCGGAAGTTGCCTCTTGTAAAGGCCAAGAGATACTTAGAGGATGTGCTTGCCCACAAGCAGGCAATCCCCTTCACCCGTTTCTGTGGAGGTGTTGGAAGAACTGCACAGGCAAAGAACAGGCACTCTAATGGTCAGGGACGTTGGCCTGTGAAATCTGCCAAGTTTATCTTGGATTTGCTCAAGAATGCTGAAAGCAATGCTGAGGTAGCTATGTTGGTCTCTTTTGTTTTTTTATCCCTTTCTTTCCATCTGATTTTTGGGATTTATTTTGGTTAGAGAGTAATGTTTGATTTTCTTTTTATTGCAGGTGAAAGGTTTGGATGTGGATGCACTCTTTATTTCCCACATTCAGGTTAACCAGGCCCAGAAGCAGAGGCGCCGCACATATCGTGCTCATGGACGAATCAATCGTATGTCAGAACCTTTTCTATTAAATTAATGTGTAATTTGAAGGTTGAAATATTTTGTTCCGTGTGTTGTGATATACCTAATGTCTTGTTCCGTGTGTTGTGATATTAAGTTTGACATGTTATATCTTGCTCTTTCAATGAAAATTTTGAGCTGCTAACATGAGGAAAATCCTTTCAGCTTACATGTCATCCCCGTGTCACATCGAGTTGATTCTATCTGAGAAGGAAGAGCCTGTCAAGAAAGAGGTAACTATCTTTGTTTTTATGGTTTTGGGTTCAGTTTGTCAAATAATTTCTGTATTATTATCTGTAAATGCTGATACTTTTGATTTCCCGGTTGATGATTGACTTCTTTTCCTGTTTTTGTTTTGCAGCCCGAGTCGCAATTGGCAGCAAGCAAACCTAGGAAGGCTTGAGCTTGAGATGGTTGGTTTGTTTTGTTTTGAATCAAATTTCTGTTATCAGCATAGTGAGTTTGAATTTTGAGGATTATTGAATGAATTAATCAAATGGATTTTTTTCTGCTGTGGGATGTTAATTCTTATTATTGAACTTATAAAATGAATGCTGCACTGCTTTGGTACATGTTTTTTTGTCAATTACCCTTGACCTTATATCACTAGGTGTATTCTTCAACCAGATAAATTAAGTTTATTGATTTGAACGACCACGAAGACACAAAATAATGTGGGAAATTGATTTTTACAATTAAAAATGTATTTTATAATTGCTCTCAAAGAACCTCGTAGTATTTGCTGACAAGCAGTATCATATTAAATTTATTTTTTCAAACATTTACAATACATGCTTTCTTAAATCCTGTGAAAACTGAAAAATGAAATTAATCTATATGTAATGATGTGATTAGAAAAGAAATGTGTTTCATTAACAGTTGAAGCTTGAGTTGTTTGTGTAAAAGATAGAAATTGTTTTCTACATTTCAATTGGTTTGATTATCATGTGCTCAGAGCTACTTGCAGTTTGAACAATTATCAATTTTCTCAAAATGCAGATGAGTGCATTTCTAACTTTCCATTTTTCCAAACAAAAGATAAAGAATAAGACTTTACTTTACATGCTAAATTGCATTACTCAAACACAAATGCCTGGACTTTATATGCTAAGCAAAAATTCTTTTGCTTTTTATACCATTCATTGCAACTTGAGAAAAAAAGATACATGTGGCTTCTACAAATTTTCTTCAAAAATATCTGAAAAATATACAAACTAGTCGATTCAGTTAGTTTGGTGTTTTGAAAATCAAACCAAACCAAAATAATTAAAATTTTAAAAGTAAAATAAAAAAACCGCCTCTTTTCATAAAAAGGACCAAACCCAAATTATATTTCGGTGGGTTATTTCTATTTTAACCGATATTTGAACAATTTCTTCCACTTGTTGATGAAGCTGCCTTAATGGCAATTGGCAAGTCTGTCTTGCTGAGAGTTAAACTCGAACTCTAGGTGTTGTATTGTCTCAAACAAAATGAAGAAAAAAGCAAATGGAAAATTGAAAATAACTAATTGCAAAGCTTTAAGAATCAAACTTCTGAACAAACTTTTAAAAAAATAAGTCATCAAACCATTCATAAGGTCCTCTTCACATGGCTAAAACCTTTTCAGCCATGTCAACCTTAAACTTACCAAACCCCTATTTACTGGTCTTGTGGCCAAGAGCTAAAAGGAACTTCTAAAGAAGTTAATTTCTGCTGCTCCTAAATCCCTAAACTTATTCACAGGTCCACTGTGTTCTTCTATTTACACAACAGCACATAGACACGACAAGAATATGCAGAAAATGTACAACGATAAATAAATGGATTTTTAATTTTTGTTTAATAATTCAGGCATTCAACTGAGATCAATATCGACCAGTTCTGGGCTGGCCCGTTCAGCACGATCCGGGCCGAGCTCGACACCAAGCTGTCCTTTGTCACCCGACCCAAACGCGTAAAGCTTATCCGATTCTGTGAGAGCAAAAGTGTGTGCATTCCAGTATACAGTATTAGTGAGGCTTATCTGTACAACCTTTTCATTCGTTTGCTTTAGGGAGGTCACGAGCTGCGGGCTCACCACATTTGTTTGCCTGTTTCCCTAAAGTACAGAATATACCATCAATCGCTTGTTTACCAATCAATCAATGCAGTTAACAAGAAATAAAATAGTTCGAATTAGTCGCGTTCGGCTGGGAACAACTGCCAGTTGCAAAAATGAAAAATTAGCCTTGTTACTTGTTTCTATCTTATATTATGACAAATGAACTATTTATTAGTCTTCTTCTTTAATTNAAAAAAAAAAAAAAAAAATCAAACCTGTTCATCGGGAGCTCGGTTATGACCAAGACTCGACGACTCTCCACAACCGAAAGAATAAACTTCCCCACAATCCGAGACAACAAATGTCGTATAATCTCCCGTCGCCACGTGTACAGCTTTCACGTCACGAATTGCGTCCACAACTTTAGGTACCGACTCACAATCTTCATTCCCGTGGCCCAAGCAGCCGTACCTTCCCCAACCCCACGTGCAAACTCGCCCGTCTTTCCCCACAACTGCCGCATGCCAAGCCCCAGCCGAAATCACAGCTGGCTCGAGACTTAACGTTCGAAATTGCTCGATAAGTCTCGGTTGCTTCTCGTCTGCTCGGTTCCCATGCCCGAGCTTCCCTCCCAATCCACATCCCACAGAGTACACCGACCTGAATATATATAGTTTTCACAAAACCGCAAAAACGAAACATTTTTATGCAAAGACATTAAGAGAAAAAAAAAAAAGCTTACTTGCCGCCACGTGGCTGACAAGCCAGAGCAAGAAGATAGCAGTAACCAGCTGCAATCTGAACTACCGGAACATTCTGGAGCGGGCCCAACAACGGGCTGGGCTCCAGATCGTTAAAATCCGTCTGATGGCAGAGTTTATCCTCCTTACCCCATGAAAATGTGTATACTCTTCCCTCTCGGGATAAAACGGCTGTGAAAAAATTCCCAATAGCGGCTTGCACGATAAACGTGTCTTTTAAAGAATCCACTAGCCGAGGGGTCGTCACAAATTTGTTCGCTTGGACTAAGTACTCTGCTTCTCCGAAAGAATCTTTTCCGAACGAGTAAACTCGACCCGTGTCGCTAATTAGCATTGTTCGTCCGGGCCCTGCGGCTGCATGGATAATACGAATCCCTTGGAGAGATCTGCGTGAAATAAAAAAATAAAAAATAAAATAAAATAAAAGATTACCGAATTAATTTTCTCTCTTTTCTCAGGCCATCCATCAGCAGTAACAAATAGGTTTAGCCTAAATTATTAGGAAAAATGAGCACAAATGTCAAAGAGAGAGTGACCCTTGTAATTCTACTAAGAAACTTCACAAGATTATCAGAAGCTTGGCAAAACCGAACCTAATCAAGCGAGGACGCGACACCTCATCGGTATTTCCATGCCCGAGCTGTCCCGAGCTGTTAGAACCAAACGAGTACACATTTCCACCGTTAGTCACTACAAGACTGTGGCCTGGGCCTGCAATCGCCTGAACCTTCTCCCTTCTATAACACAGCTCGCCAGCTAACAAATACCTCAAAACCAATTTCCAAGAGCCCCCACATATCTGCTTCAAATCACGGCTCTGCTCAACCGTCATCGATTTAAACACGGCTCGCTCACGGCACATGTCGAGGGCCGCCAGCTCAGCCAACGAAAGCTCGTTATCGGGAGCGAAATTCGCGGGCTGCCTAAAGAACCAACACGTAGCCTGCGCGAAAAAAGGAGTTTCGGATCAAATATTCAAGTACAACAACAACAACATAGCCTTTTAGTCCCAAGCAAGTTGGGGGATCAAATATTCAAGTGAAGCAAGGATTNAAAAATGGTGAATATAACACACATGCCTCGAGTTTTGCAAGGTCTTGAGGGTTTATGTTGCAGGCCGTGAGGAAATGGAGGACGATTGAAGGGTTGGCTGACAGCGGGAATTCGCCCGGGCCCGCATTTCCAAAACAATGACGATTTTGCCTCTGGTGGGTTATGGGCTGAGGGGAAACGGAAGCTATTGTTTGCTCGGCTATGTTGTGGTACTGAACGCTCGAGGGCCCACTAGCGGTGGTATCCATGAGGCCCAGATTATGCAGTGTAAGAACTTGGCCTAAGTGAAGAATTCAAATTGCTGAAAAAAATATAGAACTTTAAGATTTTCTTGTTTTCTTCATTCTTAATTCTTTACTAAAACAAGGATTATTAAAAATGATGCACTATAGGTAGTACCGTTGAATCATATGTAGATCAAGGATTATTAGGCCTGCAATTTTAGACAAGGTGATTCATTAAAAAGAAAAAACATTTATTAAATTGTAAAATGAAGCATCAAACAGTAAAATGCATTTTGCAAAGAAGTGGGTTTCAAAGAAAGAGTTGCAATCAGCTTTTTGCCTATTCAAATCTCTGAGGTGAAGATTTTTGTACAGAACTATTAAAATGCAGCAGAGTTACAGTATAAAATGACAGCAAATGGCCGTTCGTTCGTTGTGGTTAACAGCACAAGGTCAACAATGCGGCACTTTTCGAACTTGGCACAAGCGACTCGAGTTTTGCAAGGATACAGCCAAATTATAGAGAGCATCAAATGAAAAATGTCTCAAGAGAAAGATGTAACAATCATCAATAGGAAAAAGAAAGAACATGAGAGAAAAAAAAAAATGTATACAAGCTTTGATTGTACGTTTGCTGAAAAAGAACACCAAAAAAGAATACTGTTTGAAGAAGCATACGGAAACTTAGACAAAGGATATTCCCCACCAAAAGTAACCCAGAAAGACAGAAAAACTCAAAACATTAAAAAAGGTGAAAATATTCATGATCAAGCAGCATATCATCCAAAATTCCCATAGAATTTGTTGTCAGAAAGCCATACCTTTAAATTAGATTAGATGACATTTAAAAATTAAATAAACAAAACCCAACACTAATGATCATTACAATCAAACAATTTCACCATAAAAATCCAATCTTTAACATTCTCCAATCCACACTGCAGATCAAGTGAGAATTTTTACGACTGTCAAAAGCAGAGCACATATTAAACCCAAGCGGCATTCATCGACTCTTCACATTCCAAAACACAAACAGATCGAGCAACAAAAATTCCACAAACAGAAAGTTTTACATGCAGAAAAAGGCCCGAGATTCCCCAAAACCCATATCACAGCTAGTTTGGAAAAATTTCACTAGAAATCCGATCGAGCTGGAAACAGTCCAGAATTGTTGGGGTCAATCCGATCAAGGGAATTTTTTCAGGTGATTTTTTCTTTTTTGCTGATAATCAGACGACGGTGATGATTAAAAGAGTTGGAAAAAAAATAGTTTCTTGATGGGGATGTTTTACATGGAACTTTCTGTTTTGCTTTACAGAGAGAAAAAGTGAGAGATTTTTGTTATGTGTGCGTGTGATATAGAGTTATAGAATCCCTTCAATTTCTCCACTCGGTTGTAAACTGAAAAGAGACGAGGTGTCAATCATATTTTGATTTACATTCACACATTACACATTACATTGTGTGGTAAAATGTGATTTTTGTCCATAAGTATACATATATTTATACCAATATATTATTTTTAAAATTTATATAATATAATTCTCTTGGTCAACTTACAACATTTTTTTTTGAGACACAAAGATGCAAACTTTATACTTCTATAAGACTACGTCGCGTTTTTTGAAAAAAAAAAAATTATATAGCTACATAGCGAGTTATTTAAAACAACGAGAGAAAATTACAATTTGTGAAAATTTATGAATTGTTCCATAAGTCGTGTCATCTGATAATTCCATAGTAAAACTGATTAGAACATGTAAAAAATTTTAAGAAAAAAAATATTTATACTATAACATATCATAATAATATTTATATTATTTTTGAAAATATATATTTCAAAATAAAGATATACTTTTATGAATAAGACTGAATATAATTATTAGACAATCATACATTTTAGAAAATATACGAATAGTTTCAAACCTATAATCATAAACAAAATCTACATTTCGTGATACAATTATGTTTTTTTTGTTAGAAAAAAAAAATGGACCTCAAGGATGAAAATTTGTGTAATCTATATATATATAATTACTAGCTAATAACATTTAATAAAAATTATTTAATTTTATTTATGTGGCAATTTAATAATTTTCCCTCTAAAAACCGTTACATTTTGATGTATTCAATCTTTCATTTAATCATTAAATAATTAATACTCATCACTTCAAAATTACAAAAATCATTTTAAACTTTTGATTAATGACAGTTGACCATATAATGTGTTGACCGTATAATGTGATTAGATGTTATTATTGTTGTTACATTTAATTTTTTTTAAATAAAAAATATATTTGAAATTCCTAAATAAATAATAAATAATTTACAAATAAAAGACGTACCAAATATACATTACATCCAATCAGATAAATACAATTTAAAAAAGAAAATATTACAACTCTTTTAATTATAAATTTGGTCTGCAAAAAAGTGAAAGAAAAATAATTAATCATTATATACATACAAACTCAAAATAATTTATTTATACCTGTAGAAATGCACAGGTCGAATACTAGTTTTATTTATGTAACGAGTTGGTTTTTAGCTATATCAAGAGTCTTTGAGATTCCAAGTGGAATCTTACTTGTATTAGAATACACAGTTTAGTTTTGCATAACAACGTGGCCTCAAATTCAGGTCTCTAACCAAATAGTCATTAATTCATTCAATGCATTAAAAAGGTGAATGAAATTGTACCCCAAAAAAAAAGTGAATGAAATGATGATTGTGGAAATCCTACGCACAATTTTAGACATGATAACAAATAGAAATTACATTACAACCTCAAAATTTAAGTCATCAATTAAAAATTAAGACAACATTATCACTACATCTCATATATTATACCCGAAAAAAAATACTTTGGACGGGAAAATGTAAAATATACATTATGCCAATGAACGTTACATACAATATATAGATTGTTAATAACTGTCTCATTTTAAGTAGAGAAAACGCATTTTTTTTCCTCAATGTCTGAACTGTTTAAATAACAAGTCGTATATATTTCTATTATAGTATATGTGTCATCTAAAAATTACACAAACTTTCTACTTATACCTATATTTACTAAGATTTAAAATAACTGAAATTATACTTATTATTTACTTGAAAATGTATCAAGTATTAGGTAAACCAATACTCATAAAATTTTATTAACCTGCGTAAAATAACCTTGGATCCCTGCTTAAGGTAAAATTAAATCAAGTTACATTATAGTAGTATATGTATAATATATCTCTCGGAAGTCGGAACCCAATAAGCTGACGGGTCCTCACCCACTTCCACTTCCTATTTATATAAATTTTAAAGTTATATACTTATATTAGATAAAATTTAAAACTTTTAGTGCATGCGATACCTTAATGAACTAACTTAATTATTCAATATTGTCGTCACTATTGCATTATTGGAGTTGATTCAATCAGTGTACAGATTGAATTTGATCACACGCATAAACATAAATATATATATAAAAATATATATATATGTTGATCTAGTAGTAATGAAAAGTTAAATTTGTCCGTTATTATGACATATTAGAAAACAAAAGCATAACAAAATAAAAATATAAAATGTACTTTGTTTTTTCCCTTGCGAATAATGATTAGAAAGCTACAAAAGCCAACTTAATTGAGTTTACATAATCATATATTAAGACTAACAAAAAACAGCTTATATGATAATGTGTGTCACCAGACTCACCACCTAAAAGAAACAAAGTTTGTGACTAACTGATGCAATTAATTTATATATTTACCTGAACACAGTGATAAAGCATAGTAGGGTAGGTCTGCAATTGGCCTCTAATTTCCCCACTTTAGGAGGTCATCATTCTACACGGTCTCAAAATACTTTACATGTTAAATTACCGAAATATATTTAGCAAACATTCAACCTTTTTATTATTATAATTTTATTAAAATCAATAACTCTAATTTTACAACACACAATTTGGTGAACAAAGCAAATTAGATTAACTCTTGCTTTAAAAACCCTGATTATTAATTGTGTGACACAAGGGACATAAGGATTGAGTCAATTTTACCATTCACTAAAGGGAATTATTTTTCTCAATTTAATGAGCAATATGTCATCAATTAACATAGCACATAAAAATTTTGGCTTGTCTATATTTAATCCAACAAATAGGGCCCTTATGTGTTGTAATATTTGAAATAATCAATTTTGTGTATGGTTGTAAGTTGTAACTTGTTGTAATTGCATGACAAAAGGATGAGTAGAGATGTGGAAATGCTCAAATGATTAGCTGTGTTGCCAACTGTGTTGTAATGCTAGCAAGCAACTCAAATCATAGTACAAGAAATGATGCCGGATGTCCAACATACCTGTGAAAACTTTGTGTCAAAGGTGCAAGCCCAATATCCAAATTGGACTGGGGGCATGGGCCAGGGGCCCATATTTGAATCTTCAGTGAGGCCCTGCAACTCTAAGCCTGTTAGTCTGCATAAGGGAATTGGGCCGAACCTGAGCAAATAGCCCACATCAACTTATCAAATAATCAGACATGACCTCCACACCTAAGAGCATCCACAATGCTTTGGGTTCAATCATAAGAAATTGCATGCCACCTAATAAATAGACCTAGTCTAAAAAAAATGTATTCTCCAATGCAAACAAAAGTAGACTGGGTCATGCTGATGTGACAGCCAGAAAAAAGACTCGGTCAACCCTTAAGTCTATTTTAGACCCAAGTAGAGACCTAGTCTCTTTGCATTGGAGTAGATTTTATCAATATTACATAGTTTTATTCATGTCATCCAATACTTGGGTTTATTTACATGCCACATAGGCAAGACTAGACCCAATGCATTGTAGATGCTCTAAAATAGACTTAAAGGGAGACTGGGTCTCTTTTTGTGGCTGCCACATCAGCAAGACCCAGTATACTTTTATATGAATTGGAGAATATATTTATTTAGACCGAGTCTATTTCTTAAATGACATATAATTTTTTGGGTTTGAACCCAAAGCATTGTGGATGCTCTAAGAGCACCTACAATGTTTTGGGTCTCTTAACAAAAAATCACATGCCACATGGGAAATAGACTTAGTCTATAAAAAAATACTTCCCAATGCAATTAAAAGTGGACATGGTCTAGCTTATGTGACAATGAAAAAAAGAGACCAAGTCCACACTTGGGTCTATTTTGGACCCAAGTACAAACCCAAACACTCATGAGGGGGCGATTGTCTATCATTTCTACAGTAAAAAACCCAATCAAAACTTAAATTTAACTCAACTTTAACTCAACTCCACTATCTCCAATATTATTAATATAATTAAATAATATCACCAAATCATTCTTACACATCACATCAACTTTAATTCACTATTCATCTACTCACATAATTTTAACTAACTATCACTTCCAATCATTTTCTCCTACTTTTACATTAAATCAACTTTAATTATTTTACTTTAAACATTATTTTAATATATCCACTAACAACTAACCATACCACCTTTTTTCAAACTTAACTATAGTTAAAAAATAACCAGTTTTTTACCAGGTGAATTCATATCCAATCACCCCCTCATCATTTGTTCTTAATTTAATTTTTTTTAATGAATAAAACATGTTAGAGCATTTCTATTGGTTGGCATGTATGCTAGATCTAATCTTTTTATTTTTGCATTGCAAAGTTTTTGAGTTTTTTACTTAAGTTTGTCCATATCATTTAAAACTCAAGTCCAATTATATGCCACATATATAAAAAGAGACCCAAAGCATTGTGGATGCTCTAAGAACATCTACAATGCTTTGAGTCTAATTGTGCTTATGTGGCATGTAAATAGACTTAAGTCTTGGATGATATGAACAAAATATATAAAAGTATCAAATTTAATTCCAATGCAATGAGACTAGGTCTCTATTGGGTCTAAAATAGACTTAAGAGTGATAGAAATTTCCAAATATATTTTTTAACAAATATAAATGTTTTATCTGAACTAACATACTTTATTATAAAATAATATATATAAAATAATAAATTATTTGAGAAATTAGTTTGTGATAAGAAAATCCAACGAGGGCCATCCAATAACTAATATGAGGTCCAAATCTCACCAATCACACAACTTCAAGATAAGAAAACCATCCACAACTCATCCTCCACTGGATCTCAAATTTTTCCCCTTCACTCAAAAACCCCATTTTCCCAATTTTCCTATATTGAATTCAAATTTCACACCCCGAAAACACTGCAAAATCTCATTTACCAACAAAAAGAAGATCAATCAGAACCAGAAAATAAAAAAAAGGAGCTTCCTTTTACACTCCATGGCAGCTACAATGGCTACATCAATGGCTATCCTCAACCCCAAGAGCTTCACCATCACAAACTCCAAAACCACCACAAACCCATCAAAGCCCACCAAGCAAATCCCCCTTATCTCCCTCCAAAACCTACAAAAGGGCCTCTCCGTCGCCGCCGCGGCGCGCCCCGCCACCTCAATCTCCGGGGCCGCCCTCGCCGGCGCCGTGTTCTCCGCCCTCTCCGCCGCGGATCCCGCCCTCGCTGCCCAGCAGCTGGCGGAGATCGCCGACGGCGACAGCCGCGGCGTCGCGCTCCTGATCCCGCTTGTCCCCGCCGTGCTGTGGGTTCTCTACAACATCCTCCAGCCGGCGCTGAACCAGATCAACCGGATGAGGAGCTCCAAGGGCGTGGCTATCGGGCTCGGGCTGGGCGGGCTCGCCGCGTCGGGGTTCCTTCACCCGGCAGAGGCCTCGGCCGCCGTGGCGGAGGCGGCGGCGGACAACCGGGGTCAGCTTCTGCTGTTCGTGGTGGCGCCGGCGATCGCGTGGGTGCTGTACAACATCTTGCAGCCGGCGCTGAACCAGATTAACAGGATGAGGTCAGATTGAGAAGAAGATAAAAAAGAAAGATAAAAGGATGAAGGGTATATATAATTTGTACCCATGTGCTAATGGAACTTTTTCTTGTTTGGTGACTACAAGAAATCGAGAAATGGTGACTACAAAGATACATTGTTTTTGTGGCTGAATTATAGTTATTTTGCTGATTTGATATTGGAAATATATAATTAGCTATATTGGTACATGAATCATATTGATTTTGCTAAGTTGATAAATCTAAAGGATACGATGAGCTGATTTGGTGTCTGAATTATACATATTAAATCGGTAAAATAGCTACAATTCGTATAGCAAATAACCAATAAATATGTATAGATTATGTATCAAGCCGGCTAATCATATATATTTCAGATACGAAATAAAATGACTATAGATCAGGTACCTAATGCACCATTTTTATGTATTGCCATCTCTTGTCCGAAATGAATCAAATATATATAGAAAATGAGCAAATTCTAGTTGAAAAATGTTAAAAAAACTATCAGAAAATGAACTATCATCTAAATAAATGAAGAATTGAAAAACGTGATAAAAAAATAATGTATTTATACTTGAGTTGTAACCCAAGTTGTCATTCAAATTAGCTCCATAACATTACTCAAATTTATGATATGGGGGCAAAAGAAGTACAATAACAAATGGCTTACAGGGCCATGTTCNTTAATAATAATAATAATAATAATAAAATAGTACAAAACCCCCTAAAAAAAAGTAATACAAATTGGAAGGATTATTTCCCTAAACAAAATAAGTAAAACTGTAAAATAAGTAACTTCATAAAATATTAAAATTTCAATTATAGTTTCATTCTCTTTATATTTTGTGCACAGGCCATTGAAAACCCCAAACCCCATAAATATCCTTACCATTGAGTTCGAATCATTTTTAATTATGTACATCTCTGAAAAACCCAAATCGCCGCAAGAATCAGCCGTTGATTACTACGCCGCTTCAGCTGGCGGAAAGCAAGAATCTCCCCACCAGAGCAACGGCATGATCATCCAACTCAGCCCTCAACCCCACATCGCCACCCCCACCGCCGGCGACGACAATGCCGCTGCCCCCATCTCCAACAATCAAACCTCTGCCAACCCGACATCTTCATCGGGCCCCAAGAAACGGGCTGAGACCTGGGCCCAGGAGGAGACGCGGGCCCTCATCTCTCTCCGCAAGGAGATTGATTTGCTGTTCAACACATCCAAATCGAACAAGCACTTGTGGGACAGTATATCTATGAAGATGAGGGGAAAAGGGTTTGATAGATCCCCAACGATGTGTACGGATAAGTGGAGGAATTTGTTGAAGGAGTTTAAGAAAGCTAAACAGAGTAACCCAGATGGGAGTGGTTGTGCTAAGATGTGTTATTACAAGGACATTGATGAGATTATGAGTGAGAGAAATAAAAATGGTCCGAGTTGGAAAAATTCCGAGATTTGTGGTGGGGGTGGGGGTTCTAAAGTGGATTCCTTTATGCAGTTTGCTGATAAAGGTTTTCACTTTGTAGCCTCTTTGTTTTGGTTAAATGTGTTTGCTATGGTTTATGGTTAGCAAAGTGGAATTGTGGAGGCACAGAAGTAATTTCTTTTGGTGCATGTTGTTTAAATTGTTCATTTAGGAGTTAATTATTTGTGCTGTATTTTCT